ACCAGTTGCCCTTAACCTTACAGACTTGACTTCCTGATTGTGTATAAAATAAAATGCATTATTCATACAGTCAGTTCACTGAAAACTGCTATATTATGCTTTCCTCAAAAATCCTGTAATACATAGAATCTGTTAAAAATTTAAAACTAAAATAAATAATTAAAACCAAGTACTAATATCAATTTTGGGAAAGTCTTCAGTCAAACTGCCACAATGTTTTAATCAATTTCTCTATCATATAAATAATTTCTATGAAAACATATATACACAACTGAATATGGAAAAATATATGCAAAAAAGCACCTAATTTGTAAGAGTAATTGTTGGAATTACAGAATTTGACATATTCACTGCTAAAGATTACGTTAAGGAAAGAAGGAAGAAATGGTTGATGGTGTGACTGAGGTCATGATCAGGATTGTCTACTTTGCATTCTGCGTTCTTTTATATATGAAAAATGGTGATGAAAAACTATTACAAAGTTATACCTATGGAGACAAATTTCTGAAAGAATCATGTATAACCAGTACAGTGTTTTCATCRCTACTTACACGTAAATATCGTTTTGCAACTCCTTTCCTTTCCATATAGTATGGAAACCTGTGCTGATATCTGCCAACTCTTCATGTTTCTCCTGTTTACAAATCTCTTCACCAAACAGAAGTGCTGTGGTTTATGTAATCAATGAATGCCTGTTTTAATGACTGAAATCATTATATGCTCTCCAACTAAAGGTGGAAAAATGAAGCCTGGTTAAAAAAAATATGTTAGTCTTTCTCCATAGAGCTATTTCTTAAAAAAAAGTCCTTTCAGCTTTTTGAAAAACCACAAAGTCATGATTTTTCCCATTTTTGGTCATGACAAATAACCATCCTTAATGATCAGCTTTTTCATACTGGATAAGTGTTGGCCTACAAAGCAACAGCCTTCCCTGTACAGTCATTGAGAAAGTTAAGAGCAGCCAAGAGTCTCCTGCTGTGAGCTCCTGGGCAAAGCTTCGTGCAGCGAGTTCATGTGGCATCATCCTGCCCACACAAATCGTTTCTGATGGTCATCCACCAGGGTCCGAGCCGCTGGAGGCACCGTGGCAGCCTTCTTTTGTTCATGTTTTATTCATGCATCCTTATTCTTGACAAACTGATATCTCTTGGCAGCTGTGGGGTGCCTGTATTACTGTCTGTTGCATGTATGAGGAATTCTTTAGCCTTGCAAATAGGATGATCTGCTCTTGCTGCTGCAAGCGTATTAGAAAGCAGTCAATAATTCCATAGGAATAACTCYGTAGAAAGCCCTTAGAAGGGAATACCCTTTGCAGTTCTGGGATTTGCTCTTTAAGGAAATTTTTGATCAGATAAAGAGCATCCATAGCAGACCAGTTAAAATGAGCTTGAATCTGGCAAATGTGAATTAAAAGAATGAATGAATGAGTTCAGAAGACTGAGTGTATGAGACGTGTTAACAGTCTTCAAGATCTTAGTGAAGGGGGAAGAGAATTCTCTCTTCTTCAACTACACCCATCCTCCATTGCATATGGTGGGAAGAAAGTGCCATTTGTGAAAGACTGAGATGGGTGTCAGAAATACCTTAATTTTCAAGAAAATCTTAAAAAAAAACCTTAATAATTCTGAATATAGTGAAACACTGGGATAGAGAGTCTGGGAGAGGAGATGCTTGGAATCTGCATCACTGGAAATCTGTAAGATAAGAACAGGCAAGCAGTGGTCAGGAATGTTCTTCTGATCTTGCACTGTGGCAGCAGAAGAGGAAACACTGTGATGTCTTTTCAGGTCATTTCTTTCATGATTTCACACTAAATCTAACCTCAGCTGACTTATTGTTGCCAACTCAAGAATTTCAGGTGGTGAACTGGAGCCAGGAACTCATCCTGCTGCTAAATGGACTGGCAAAAGAGAGGGGAAAGAACAGGATCACTTTTGCCAACTGGTTCACTGCAGGACCCAAAAAAATGTGTATGGGCAGCACAAGGAAAGGGATGGAAAGAGATGAGAATGAGTCGCTTCCTACCTGGCAAGGGGGCAGCAGCCTTTCTAAAGGACAGTGCCAGCCTAAAGAGATCAGCTGCCAATGGCATAAGGCTTCTAAGTGGGGGATATATATGTAAGAAAAGTTGTCCTCTGCTATTATGCTGCACRTTTGATTTGTACAAAACTGCTCACAGGGACACCAAAAATAAATGTTTACAGAATTTTGTGCCACTTCAGTCAACACAAGTGAGAGAAAGTTCATTTCTGTTATCACACAGTGTTCATCTGTGTAGAAATATAGAAAGTTAAAAATTTTATTCTGAACTAAGCTTTTTTAACCTCTCTTCTTAGTATGGCAATCCGAATCTAAAACAACTCCACTGTTTTTCCTGCTACTATAAAGTCTTAAACTGCCTGATAAATAAATACAATTTTCTGCCATGCCACTTGCTTAGAGTGCTGTTCTCCAAATTTCATCTCAGATGCCAAAATTACACTTAAAGTAAATATTCTCGAGAAAATATTGGTCAAGGCTGTCTGTATAATGCTTTCTTAAAAAATTAGTATTGTAATTTTTAGAGAGACATAGCTAATCCATTTTGGCCTAAATTTCTTTCCTTCACAGAAAGCAAATTCAGTCTTGGTGCATAATTTATGATCTTGGCATTCAGCCCAAACATATGTACATGCTGAAATCAGTTTTGCATCTGCTTAACTTTATGCACATGAGTAGTCTAATTGTATTTTGTCTGATGAAATGACTCATGCAAAATCAAGTGCTGGCAGAACAAGGATTCCAGACAGTAGAGCTGTTCAGGGCAGCTCCCTCTTACTATAACTTTATATTGCATCTAGTGCAAGAAATGGCTTCCTGATGATCTAGACACCCTCCGCATGCTCCCACAACACTATTAGAGTTACAGCTCTAAGATATGGGGTGAAATTAATCGCAAAGGAACAAGTCTTGCAGTCTAGATCAGATTTTCCTCTGCATAGCGCTTGGCCTTAATGACAGTAATACCGGCAGGTCGATAGTTTTTAGTCCAAAATCTTCATTCTGGAAATCATTTTGGGGTCAAGTGAGATCATTCTTCCACTTTCTTGGTAACAAACRTGCAGGCTGCTGCTGTTGGCCTCCTCACTGGACAGGTTGCTGTTGCTCACATATGGTAAATGCTGTAGTGCTGTAGGTGTTACCTTCCATCGGGAAAGAACCATTTGCTTCCTGAGTTGGATTCCCCGATGGATTCAGCACCTCCTGCAACCTCAGGAGTTCCCTCAATGCCAGCAATATGCGCATTTGTTGCATGCACAGGGTGCCGTGGAAAAGAGCAGTTTCTCTTCCCTGTCTCAGTAGCTTTCCCAAACCTCATCTATCCCACCCCTTCCCACCCCATTTCAGCTCTGCCATCCAGAACCCCGAAGTACTGGCAGAGTTTCTTGCCTCCTGAAGTGGAGCCATAGGTTATAGCAAGAGAAAAGGAGATGCTCACTGCTCTCTGCTTGCTGAAGGGTTTGAATCAGAGTAGCTGCTGTTTTATCWTCCTTATTCCTGCAGCCACTATGAAGGGACACCATGGTCAAGGGGTGAAGACTCAAGAAAAGGTGGGCAGAGACTGCAAACTTTTACACTAGGAGCATTAAGGATTGTGAAGTGCAGTGCTGTGCTGCAAAGACAAGGCAAGGAGAAGAACAGGACTGACCACAAAGTTGAGGGTGCACAGGCAACCAAGATTAGCTGGAAATGAAATCAGAGAGGGAAAAAATAATTTAGAATACAAACRTGAAGCGAGACATATACCTTAAAACTGACTGGCTTTGTTTGCCTTTGTGTGCTGCCTTATTGCCTGGCTATTGGTGAAAACATCTCAGAAATAAAGGTGACTTTAGTGGGCTTGGAATGCAAAGCAAGGCCTGTAATTTTACACATACGTATTTGAAACCGATTTTTGACTGAGAATTAATGCTTTTGATTTTTGTGATTTTTAGACAGGAAATACAGAAAAAAAAGTATGTAATTCATCAGGAATACAATGTGCTTTAGCAAGGGAAGAAAATGTTGGTATGCTGCAGGATTAAAATACTATAGAAGTTAAATTGTGCTCTGARTTACTTGAATGTGAATTTGATGGCTTTGATGGAGATACTCCATGGTACTTTTTTTTGTAGCTGGGGAAAATTTAACCTTCAAGTGTTAAATCATGAAAAGTTTCTAATTACTGTTTATCTTCCTTTTTGAGATCTGCATATGCAGCGGAGCCAGATAGCCAAAGCCTTAGTATTGTAGGGACAAAATGAACAATGTTGACTCTTTCTGTAGCCGACTACATTTAAGACAATCTAATGAGATGGTTTTCTGATTTATCCAGCAAAGTAASCGTTCTCCTCAGGAGAAAATTCACAAATATGAGAAAACAAGATTTGCTATTTCATTTTGCCTTTTGCAATTCTTAAGAGGAGCAATAGTAATGTTAAGATACACATACATCTCTAATTCATTATGGGTTTTGTGAGTAAACAATAGGACATAACAATTACCATGTTTTCAATAACTTATTGCAGCTCTTGATAATGATTGGATGAATATTGGATTAACTTCATTAATCGYTGCATTAAAATGTATATTTTTTAATTCCTTTGGGGTTTTGCGCAAATGCACTGATCTTATTTACATCTTGACTAATATAAAGAAGCCAATATTTATAAAAATATTCGCAGGTAGCTCTCAAACAGGGCTGTATAACTCATGTCTCAACTGTAATTATTTTAGAAGCTTCATTTAATAACTGATTTCTTGAATTTGTCTTTTATTACTGAAATGTACTGAAGTACTGAAATGAATAATACTGTGAATTGTTCCCTCTTAAAAGAATTATGAGCAGTTTATGTTTGCTCTGGACAGACCAACATAAAGATTTTTTTTAAAAATCATAGAATTCTTTAGGTATTTATAAAGCATGTGGAGACCTTACTTACATGGTCCATTATAAATATATTCTTTCTCTCTGTTTTCAGTCGCCTGCACATAGCTATTCAAGCTATGACTCTGGCAAGAACGAGAGCGTAGGCAGAGGTGCTGAAGATCTGTCTCTGAATCGAGGTGATGAGGACGAGGATGACCACGACGAACAGGAAGATCCCGAGAAAGTTAATGAATCAGATGGAGTAGAAGCTGAACGACTGAAAGCTTTTAATGTAAGTCCTTTTACACCCATTGCCTGCTTTCTTCCACTACCTTCCTTTATTTTTTTTCTTTTTAATGGAAAGTTGGATAATACTAGAGGCACACTAATTGAATTTGCAGGATCTTTGAGCTATTATTTTAAAACACATTAAACTCTTGCCAACAGACACCAGATTTACTGTGTTTTATTTAGAATTTTAAGGCCATCTTTACCAGTGAGCACAACAAAGCTCTGTTTTGTGTGTGTGTGTATGTGTGTGTATGTGTGTGTATGTGTGTGTATGTGTGCATGTTCACCCAGGGAATGCAAAGGGGCTGCAGCTAGTTTGTCAGAAGACCATTCTAGTGGTCAGCTGTTTTCAATTGTTTTCCCAGTGTATGTAATTATGCATGAAAACACAGGCAATTGTTCAAAGAAAGAAAAAGATTCAGTTTGATAAAACAATGTAGCAATCACAACTTAYTGTTAATAATGAAACTGAAGTGTTGCCTATTTTCACAGTCTGTTCTGGTTTATCTCACAAGTTCTGTATCCTATAGACTATTCTTTTCTTGTCTTTTTTTTCTTTTATCAGTCCTCCCCCCACTCCCTCCCCCCCAATAAACCTTTAAAAATTGTTTGCTTCCCATTATTTGTTTGCYTCCCAATATTTCTGGCTTCCCATTACAAAGCTCTTCAGTGGATAGTACAAGTGTCTTCCTCTCAGTAATCAAGACAGGAAGCTAGGAAGAGAAGAGAGCAGCCCTCCAAACCCGTCTCCTCTGTCTCCCTCTTGCCAACAGATGTTTGTCAGGCTGTTTGTAGATGAAAACTTGGACCGAATGGTCCCAATCTCTAAGCAGCCCAAAGAAAAGATCCAGGCTATCATTGACTCATGCAGGCGACAATTCCCTGAGTATCAAGAGCGTGCCAGAAAACGCATACGTACTTACCTCAAGTCCTGCAGGCGGATGAAAAGAAGTGGTTTTGAGATGGTGAGTTTTGATTTAAAACCCAGCCCTAGTTTCCATCAAAACCCCATATGTAAATCCATGGCACTATTTTGTTTTCATCTTAGTGTCTTTTGGTTTTTTTTTTTTTTTTGGTTTGTTTGTTTGGGTTTTTATTTTGGCAATATGAGGTTGGAGCTTTCTTTTTCCTTCCTTCATTCTTCCAGAATTTATTCCCTTTGTTCACTAGTTTAAAAATGCTTCAAGATTCCAGTATGAATACATAGGAAAAGGATAGTTCACAAGATAAAGTAGTATGGATCTGTAGGAAAAGAATAATAAAGCATGAGGAAAAAAGAAACTAATTTAAGGCTTATATTGGAGTTTCTTCCTTAGGTTATGGTTAGAGAAGATTTTTACCTGCCAAAGTCTTGCAGTAAGATGGAGTTTCCTTTAAAATCATTCTGCTATCTGGCTTTCTGTGAGCTCTGTATAAAGTAGATTCCATTAGAGAAGGGCTAGACCCAAGCAAACAGCCAGTGAGAAACATTGCAGTAGCAAAAGTTTAAGGTTTTGATTGTTCTCTTGCGTATTTTTATCCTATTAACAATCAGTAAAAGGGCTATCCTTTTAAGATCTTTCTGCTGAAGTAATGTGTCTTGCACATCTACATAGGGCTTTAAAGCATCAGTACTTTAAAGTTTACATTTCTACCATCTCAATGGATTGTTGACTGTAATGGAACCAACAACCATGAAAACACTTTGGTATACACATGGCAGTGTTTTCTGACATTAATATTTTAATACAATGCAATACCCAAGAGTCTGTAAAGAACAGTTATGCACACAGGCTGGCAACTTTAGAATCTTTAAATAACTTTTAAATTTCCCAAACCCAAGAAAATCATAGGAAATRAAATAGTAACTTATGCTATGTTTGATTTATCACATCTATCTCTCTAGCCATTAGATGTCAAGTAAATCACTTCATTATTGCAAATAGAGATCATTTAGTAAACATATCATTTTTTTATTTTAATGAATCATCTGCAAACCCATTGATTACACGAAAAAAATTATGGGGATGACTGCATTTTACTGTTTCTCTCTGTCTCTCTCTCTTTCCCTTTACTGCAGTTTCTGCAGGATATTTATCAAGTCCGTATGTCAGCTTTAAGATGTTAGTTGACAGTTGTAAGAGCAAAATATCAGCCTTATCTGTAGGGTAAGACAGATAACACAAAAAGCAGAGACAGAAGCTATATTTCCATGTATATTCATGAATCTGACTGAGTACATGATTTTATTATTTGAAACAGGGGTTAATGTTGTTTTTGAACAATGGAAATATAGGTGAAAAGAGACAGGTAAAATAAAGGACATCTGTATGAATAAAACTGCCAAGGATTGACTGGTGGTGTACATGTCATATTGCATAGCCTTCCCAAAGTAAAAGCAGGAAAACCAGAAAACAAATATTTTCAGTAAGTAACATCAAGTTGCATCTACTCTGGCTGAAGATAAGTGAGAAATGTCAAGTTCAGGCATCATTGTGCCTGAACAATATTTTTATTTTGCTGTACTTTCATTGAAAAACCTTGCACAATTAGCTAGTGCTAGAAGATCTCCTCCCTGCTCCAATTTATGGCCCCATTACTGTCATTTTTCACACTGGTGAGCACTTACTTAAACTGGCTCGTTTTTGTCATCTGGAAGACTCACAAAACTGCTTTTCAGTATGAATAAAGGGCTTACAGCCTGACCCGTAACAGCTAGGTTGGTTTGACTTCAGCAGATTATTCACATATTCATATGAACAAAGGTTGCAGGATCAAATTTTTTCCTGGAAARGGAAAAGGCACAAAGATTACCAGGACGTGATTCAAATAGGCAATCTTGGTAGTTCAGAAATACTCCCTGCTCTTATAAAATGTTCCATTACAGTTTATGGGGGATTTACTGCTYTATAAACAAAAAAATGCCCTCCAAAATATTGACTTTGCTGACCATAAATGAAAGTGACAGCGCAGTGGCTCTGCTGCCAAAACCTGCAGCCCTCGTGTCCAGCTTCCCTGCTCGTAGGTACGAACACGAGCCAAAGACCATCCAGAGCCCCCAGGGGAGCTCCCATTCACCTTTTGAGAGACTAAGTCTTTTTAATCTCTTTAATTACGTTCTGATTTCTGAATTACTTTGTCAGCACCTCATGATTATAAGCATTTTTTAAAAGTGCTACCTTGGACAGAGGCACTTGACTGCCTGATTATTATAATGTACTTGCCATTTTGACCGTGGAAAAGAATCACTTTGGATAATAACATTTCTTCAAAACAATCATGAGAGGACGTGTTGGTGCTGATTTGAGTCAGGTGCTCCCATAAATACAGCAAAACAAGATAATGATCTCCTCAGGAGTGATAGTGCTGCTGTTGTTACATAAAACAGGATAGTAGTCTCCACAGGAGATGCCTTTGCTATAGTCATATTGAACATAACTTTTTCGTTTTGTTCAGAGCAAGAATGCTACATTTTGAGCACYCGGTTCCAAGAGAAACGAGTATAGTCTCAGATGTGGCCTGTGCAAATTCAGGCTATGGGCGGAACAGTGCGGCTCTCTTAMAGCACCGTGCTGTAAAGTTAGGAGAAAATGTAAACACTGAGTTTAATTAGTGTAAGACAGCATGGAAAAGATGCAAAGCCTGCCTGGAGCCTGCTTCTGTCAGGCATTTGCCATCTGTAGTCCTCCCAACACTTGCTCCTGCCTAGCAGCCTAGTTGCAGCTCTGAKGAAATAGGGAAGTTCCAGGTTCGCAGGTGTTCATATTGTTGGTTATTGTGTTTCTTAGGAATAATATCTGTTTCTAAGAAACTGCTTGTATGTTCCATTTATAACATGCTCTGTTTATGCCAGAYGAGTATCCTTGGACTTCAGGGCAGCTTGCATAGCTACTTGCTACAAATATCACTTTGAGAAGTCCCCTTTCAGCACTGGGAATGTTCTCCTTACTTGATTATTCAGCTTGTGATTGTGCTGCTTGCATTTTGCTTCTGACACAACTACGTCCCTTAACAAGGCAATGTTGAAGTTTTTCCCGTCAATTGTAAAAAAACTTTTTTTCTACCGATTTTCTCTTCCTTATAGTCTGAGAACTTTCTTGTAGTAAGTCCTACTTTCTTCCTCATATTTTTTTTCAAGTGAAAGTAAGTTTGCTTAGTCCTGAGATCATTCACTTTATAGGTTGTATTCTCATCTGTGTTAAGCTCTAGCACTTTGTGAACTTTAAGACATTGTTAAAGATATTCTTTTTCTCTTCATAAGCCCATCAGCCAAAGGAAAATAAGATTATTTCCTGTGTCCCAAGGATTGATGTTAATGAGAATTTCCTTATGTTCYTTAGGTATATGCGCCATACAAGAGGAATTTTCTTCCTGAAATGGTCAAATGACCTGTTTCTCTAATCATTTGAAAATCCCTCTTTTAGACTTGTCTCTCTCTATGTACCCATAGGAAATAATAGAAGAAAAYTTTTGAGGATGTGTGATATCTATTGCTTAGTTACAGTGTAGAAAAAAATTAGTTGATAGAAATGATGAAATATGAAATAGCACAGTAATTACATCTTCTTACTCCTATTTGCCTGTTTTACTCCTATCTCTCTGTCTTCCTGCTCTTTCATCAGTCTCACTTGCTGAACTTGGTTTGAAACTCAACTTTACAGGATCTTTTGCACAGATGTGCCTTTTATTTTTTCATGTGCACTCCTGAAGCAAAAGCAAGGCCTTAAACTAAAAAGCTCTTCAACACAAAGATTCTTCCCTKTGCTCCAGCAAGAGGAAACCCTCCATCCGAGACATTGCTGTCAAACAGTAGCAAAGAGAAAAATGTTGCTGTAATTGGAGAGAAAGGCCAGTCATAAATGGCTTTTCTTGGCTGAACGTGAGTCTGGATGTATTGGCCAGAAAAGAAGAGAAGATTCATGCTTGGATCCCTGAGATCCCATGTTGGATCCCAGTGATGCTCATCTCAGCTCCTTCTATCCCATTCCCACAGAGCAACATTATCAATAACAAATAGACAAGCTCCATGTCTTTCACTGCTTCTGTGTTTTGCTTGTGCAGATTGTCTGCAAGAGCTGTTTTAATGATTTGCAAGTGATTGGCACATGATGAAGATGTTTTCAAAGTSTCCGGTGAGTTGGAGCACCTCCATTTTGTGACAGCAAACTGAGCAGCTTTTGGAGGGGCTGATTTTCAAATGCTGGTTTGCTTTCTGAAACCTGCCTCATTAAGATGTTTCAGCATGGATCTCTGACCTCCCCTTTTCAGTTTTAGCTGTAGATGGAGGGAGTTTTCACGTTTTCCTGAGCTTAGTGCTGGATAGGCCAGCTGCCTTTGCAGCCACTCAGATTTTCAATTTTCTCAAGGCCTTTTGTGGAGAGAAAGGTCACAAACATTTTCAGGAACATGAGGGCTGGTGGGTGCAGGGATGGATCCCTAATCCTGAGTAATGAGCTGAGAAACGTTAAGATAGTTATTAGAAAAAAGTTATGTGAAGATGTACAACTGAAAATAGAATTGCTTTGTACTCTACCCCAAACTGTTCATTTTTAAACATCAGTCTCTTGGTAAACACTGATCACTTTATTTAAGGTTAATGAGTACAATTGGTTAAAAAAGGGGGGGAAATTATTCTCTGACAAATGTAGACTTTTTGTATTAGGACTTCCATCTCCATTCAGAAAGTCTAGAATCATTTCTTATAAGCATCTGATTTTCTTTTTTTATCCAAAGAACAGTAAGATTTCCCACAGAATACTGATGTGATTTTTCAGAATTGTGCTTTACGTGTTTTGAACGCTTGCTTTTCAGTTATTTCTGGAATCTGGTATTTTGTTTCTACTTCATTCTGAAAGGCAAATATACTTGAGATAAAGAGAATCTTACCTATTTTTGCTAGCTGAGAGTTAAGGATCTAGAGAAAATGGGTGACATGGACTCCCTCAACACCAGTGAAGCAGTTTGGTAACTCTAGCCAGAGAATGTT